TATGTGTGTGTGTGTGTGTGTGTGTGTCTCCCTCTCCTTTCTACTTGCCATTGTTAGCACAGCATTACGAAAAATGAGGAAAACCTTGCTGTACATGTAGAAGTCGAGAAGGTTTTTCTTGTTCAGAAAACCGGGAAATCACTAGACAGTCGTAAACACTTTTGCAAATTATGGCCCCTTCCCATATATCCTCTGCGTGTTTTGTTTTTGGTGGAGTTTTTTTTTGTTTTTTTTTGGGGGGGTGGGGGTTACATTATGATGTCTCTGTCTTAGACACTCACCTTTCTAAGACACTTTTCTCCTCGACAATAGCTGGTCGAATTAGATAATTTCGACTGTACATAATGCATTACATGTATATAAAACGAGTTGAGCTTGATTTGTCGCAAAAGTTAAGTCGATGGGGCTTTGCTGTGTTGCCTCTGTGAGTTCAAACACGAGGGGAGATGCGTGTTGTTGTATATCTACGATCTATGAGACGTTCTCGTTTTGTGTTTTCAGAACTCATGTTGAATAACCAGCCGCTATGTTCTATATTATTATAGATATTCGCCTTACATTCCGCGCTGATACAGTTGTCTCTTCGCCCATTCTTGTTCATTATTCAAGAAGGCCTGAATGTTCTATCTGATCTAACTTTTCTTGTAGTGTTTTATGGCACATGCTCTAATGCTAACTGAAACTTCACAGATCTACTCATTATTCCATGTATATGATATATTATATATATATATACATAATACAGACCTATACCTATTGTAAAGTATACTTTATATAACAGCATACTACCATATATATGTACGCCTAGTCTGTGTATCTATATCTACATTTAGATATATTATGATTTCCTGCGTATATAAAATGTATGATAACAGTAACCTATAAATAGCTGCCGTATATAACCCTCTAACCAGCACTCCCTGTATTCTGCATTCACAGTGACACTTTGGGCTGTGGCCGCCATCTTGTTTCTCCCTGGCTAGTCTTTCCAGGTATTCTGGGCATGCGCAGTCAGTGTGTTTGCTGTACGTCACAATATTATCATTATTATTATCCTTCTCATTATGATCCTTGCATGCGATTGGTGGAGGTATTCTTTTCTCACTGGCGTAGATCTAGCTCTCTTGGCGTCTCTCATTCTTCCTCAGACCCGCATCCCATACATGACATGCGTTATCCACACTTAGATATGATTTGGCATGACGGTAGATTCGGGTTTTGAATTGATCCTGGTATTTTTTCCCTTCTTTTTTTTGTTTTTTTTTTGTTTGTGTTTTGTTGATTTCCCGTGTGCCTGCCTTCCTGTTTTGGTGTGTTTGTACCCATGTATTTTGGGTGGAATGTTTTCTCAAGTTCCCCAGTAGAGCTTTTGTTTGCAGAGAGTTGAACGTCTCTTGTTGACTTTGGGCTGGAGTTTCGCATGGATGGGTGGCTTTGTTGTTCTGTTTGTTTGTTGCCTACTTAGTGCCTGTGTGTGTGTATGTGTGTGTGTGTGCGTGTGTATGTGTGTGTGTGTGTGTGTGTGTGTGTGTGT